CTGCAACTGTACAAACCCACCAGGAAAGAGAAACGTACCCCCCTTCAAAGGGGCTAGGAGGATCACAGTGCCCACCTATTCTAAGTGTCACAGAGCTTTTAAGAAGTAGCTCCAAGAATCTGCAGTTCCTAACCCAGTAACAAAGCTCATTTGTCACAGGGTTTCCTGACAAGCTGAATCTATGGACTGCGCAGCTGAGTAATTTGTGCATGCAAAAGCTTTCAACTCTGTAGGAAAATTGGTTGTTAGGATTTTTTTTTTATACTAGGGATTAAACCCAGGGGTACTTAACCAGTGAGCTACATCCCCAGGGTCTCACTGARTTGCTGAGGCTGGCTTTAAACTGGCAATCCTCCCAGGCTCCCGAGCCACAAGGATTCCAGATGTGCACCCTGCACCAAACTGGCCTCTTTTTTTTTTTTTTTTTTAAGAGACAGGGTCTCACTATGTTGCCCAGGCTGATCCCGAACCACCGACTCAAGGCACCCTCCTGCCCCTCAGCCACGTGAGTAGCTGGACTACAGCTACATGCCACCATGCCCAGCTGACCACCAGGTCTTTAATGGTACATGGATATTGCTTCCAGGTATGATAAGTTTTCTTTTGCTCAGATGTTTGTGAATCACTAAGAATCAATAATAAAGGAAGTGCCCCATAAACACATGAAGTAATGTCACAGAAACCCTGTGGGTCTCTCAGTGTCCTGACAAGAATAGGTATTTTCTACCCTTTTCCTGCTGCCACCCTGACTGTGTCATTTATGGAAATAGAATTCCCATACTATAAAATTCACCGTGTGTGTGTGTGGGGGGGTACTGGGGATTGACCTCGGGGCACTCTGCCACTGAGCTTCGTTCCCACCCCTTTTTATTTTTTATTTGAAATGATGAAGCTCCGGAGTTGTAGGACACTCACTGGCCATCTTTCCACGTCTGCAGGACAGAGCTACTGTCCTGCATGGCAGGATAAACCAAACGAGATCCATGCAATGGAATGTAATGTGGCCACAAGAAGGAATGAGGGGGTGACACGTGCTACAGCGTGGAAGAAACTGGAAAACACGCTGAGTGAAAGAAGCCAGTCGTCCAAGTGTGGTACGGCTCCATTTACACAAAAGATCTAGAGCAATCTACAGAACTGTGAAAATGCTCCAAAATTAGATAGGGGCTGGGGATGGAACTCAGTGGTAGAGGGCTGGGTTCCATCCCAGCACTAGAGGAAAAAGAAATCACTTATCTAATTCACAAATCTGTGAATTTACTAAACTCTGCAAACTTAAACAATCTTTATTTATTTATTTGGGTTCTGAGGATTTAACCCAAGTCCTTATTTTTTTTTTTTTTTTAATTTTGAGATGGAGTCTCACTAAGTTGCTGAGGTTGGCCTGGAACTTGCAGGCCTCCTGCCTCAGCCTCCCAAGTCACTGGGATTACACATGTGCCCCACCATACCCAGCAATTATATGCTTTTAAAAGGGTGATTTTTTTTTCTTTTCTTTCTTTCTTTTTTTTTTTTTTTTTTTGAGACAGGTTCTCACCATGTTGCCTAGGCTGGTCTAGAACTCATGGGATCAAGGGAATTTTTTAGCTGGAACAGTGGTGCCTACCTGTCATCCCAGTGACTGGGGAGGCTAGGGTAGGAGGATTGCAAGTTTGAGGCCAACCTCAGTAAACTAGCAAGACCCTGTCTCAAAAAATAAAAAGGGTTGGGGTGTAGCTCAGTGGCAGTGTATCCTGGGCTCACTCCCCCTCAAAAAAGGTGAATTTTATAGTGTGTGAACTCTATCCTCATAAAGCCGTTATTTTAAAAACCATTTCTCGGGGGTGGGGGGGAACAGATAAGATCAGGMTGATTGGCATGTGGCAGTGCTGAATACCCATTTTCCCACTCTCATGGATGCTTGAAAAGTTTTAGAAAGAAAAGCTGGAATGCACGGGTCTGCTGTCCAATCCCAAGGAGCTGGACACTTGATAAAGTCTCAAAGCCAGGGAAACTTTGAAAGTTGTCCCTTCTCCCCAGCTCTGCACCCTATGTGGTGAATCTGGGAAGGGAAGGCGGGCAGGAGACGGCCTGTGCACCTCGGCACCTGCAGAGGGGCCAGACCCTACCTGATTCAGGCTCAAGGTGAGTCTCAGGCTCACACTCCTCCAGCAGCCACAGCCACAGGCTTACCACAGTACCTTCCATCAGGGGGAAAGGATGGGGCTCTCCACCCAGCCCACCGTCCAGGAGGAGAACAGAAAAGAGGATCACAACGGCACTCATTTTTGCCATCTGCACACCATCAGGGAGAAGACAGTCTCCTGAGGATCCTTCAGACCCTAGGACCTTAAACTCCAGGATACTGCGGAACCCACGGCCTGTGAGGTAACACTCCAGAGGTGATGGGGGAGGGGGCCCAAGTGTGTGGAGAGGGGGGCGTGGGGCGCCTCAAGTAGCCTCTCTGCTCACTCCTTGGTTATCTGATGTCTTCCAGTCCTGCACGTGCTGCAGCCTGAAGGCAGCTGGATATTAACAAAACTCTGAAGATGCAAGTGACAAATTGGAAGCAGCTTAAGTGGCCAGAAAAATCATGTGACTGATCAAGACATCACACTAAAGGGCTGGGGATGTAGCTCAGTGGTTGAGAACTTGCCTGCCAAGCATGCAGGAGGTCCTGGGTTCCAACTCCGGCATTGTAAAAAAATAAAAATAAGAAGTCATCACTAACAAAGTGTTGTTACTTATGGTTGCTATAGTTTGGACCTGCAATGTCCCTCAAAGACCCATGTGTTAAAGGATTGGTCACCAGCCTGTGGCACTATGGGGAGGTAGTGAAACCTTGGGGAGATAGGGCTTAAAGGAAGGAAGTCACTGGGGCCATGCAATATTGGGACAACAGTCACTTCCTTCCTTCCTATTTGCTTTCCACGAGGTGAGCAGCCTCCTCTGCTACATGCTCCTGCCACCACAGTACCAAAAGCATCAGGGCCAAGTGACCAAGAACTGAAACATTTGAAACAATGAGCTGAAAAAAAAAAAAAAAAAAAAAACCTTTCCTCTTATTAACATGATTATCTCAGATATTTTGGCACAGTGAGGGAAAGCTGACTGTTACAATGTTATTGAATTATAACACTGAAACCTGCATTGACTCACTAATATATTTCTCATAAATACTATTTCCCCTATTATGTTTTATAAGTATTAGACTATTTTCAAAGGAGAAAAAGTTGTGTGGTGGAATCTTTAACTACAGTTTCTCCCCTATTTTTTCCTGCATTTTGTGGTGGGTCCCATAAATTACGTAGCCATGGCTGGGATGGAAGAAATCTTACAGAGGCAAAAAGTTACACAAAAGTTATAGAGTAGAATCCTAGAGAGTTCAGTTGTATTAGTTTTCTATGGCTGCCATAACAAAGTATCCCAAAATGGGTAACTTAAACAAAAGAATTTATCATCTCACAGTCCTGGAGGCTGACATCTGAGATCACTGTGTTGGCAGGGTTGGTTCCTTCTGAGTGCTGTGAAGGAAGGGTCTCTTCTAGGACTTGGCCTGCAGATGACTGTCCCCTCTCTGTGTTTTCATATCTCCTTCCCTTTACATATACCTGTGTTTTAATTTACTCCTATGAGGATACCAGGCATATTAAATCAGAGCCCACCCTAATGTCCTTGGTATAACAAAATTACCTCTATAGTGACCCTATCTCCAAATATGCTCAAATTCTGAGGTCCTGAGGATTAGGACTTCAACATCTAAATTTGGGGGAACATAACTTAATCTATGACATGGCAGTAGTATAAGTCTTATTTCTCTAAAATATCTTTGAAAAACAAAATATAGAACAAAAAAAGTATAAAAAGAACACAGAAGCCAGGTACAATTGTAATCCCAGTGGCCCAGGAGGCTGAGGCAGGAGGATCAAAACCAGCCTCAGCAAAAGTAAGCCCTTAGCAACTCTGTGAGATCCTATCTCTAAATAAAATACAAAATAGGGCTGGGGACATAGCTCAGTGGTTGAGTGTCCCTGAGTTCAACCCCCCCCCAAAAAAATAAAAACCCACATAAAACAACACACAACTCACACTCTTAAAATAACCAGAAGCAGAAGATGTCCAACCTCAAATAGAAAAATAACTGCTAACCTGGGCTCCAACTCTTTCACTTCTGATTGCTGGTCTCTGCAAAAAGAAAACACAGCAGCCCGAGATGGCCTAAAATCAGTTGGGCACTGTGCACAGCCTGTAGTACCAGAGGCTTGGAAGGCTGAGACAAGAGGACTGTGAGTTTTTGAGGCCAACCTGGGTGACTTGGCCAGACCTTGTCTCAAAATAAAAAACTTTATAAAGTTCAAGCTCATGTCTAATGGAAAAGGTATATGCTGAGACAAATAATTACAGATCAGTCTGGTAAATGAGTTTAGGACGCATATTATCTTGCAAGGTTGCAGCAGTTGACTCCAGCACAGCTCCGTAACTTTGGACAAATTAGACAAGTACTATGACACTCCTCGGTTACCTCACCTGCAAAATGAAACCACCACCAACAACACAACTACGTGGTAGAACTGTTATGGGGATCTAATATAAAATCTATACATTCTTAGAAGCGCTCTGCAGACCCATACCAAGCGCCCRATAAACGCCAACGTCAAATTACCACGAACGTGAAATTTTTTTTACAAGGAATGGGATCCCTCTCCGTGTTTAATAAGGAAATTCTTTGGATGAAACACCCAGAGCTGGCCTCCTTGGGGAAGGTGCGCGCACCAAGAGCGTGGCCGAGGTGCTGGGGCACCGGGAAAGCGTCTTCTTGGACAGGCGAACTCGCCGCCGGACTCGGGGACCCGCAGACMGGCCCGGGTGCCCTTTAAGAACCGAGCCATGACGTCACCCCCGACGCCGCGCAGCCTACCTTGGCTACGCCCCGCCGTTCTTCCCGACGGCCTCGATTGGCCGACCGGTCTCCGGAGGCCACGCCCTCCTCCCCCGCGGCGGGCCCTGGCGCCCGACGTCAATCGGGCCGGGTGGGAGTTCTGATTGGCCGCGGGCCGCCCTCCTGAAAGCCCCGCGGGGCTCGCGTAGGCTGCGCGTTTAGGGGGAGGGGCGCGGCATCGCGTCGGGAGTCGCAGCTGTCCCAGTCCGCCCGCCCGCCCGCTGGTCCCTCCTGCAGCCCTCCTGCTGGGCAGGGCCAGCCCTGCCCGGCCATGGAGTCCTACGACATCATCGCCAACCAGCCCGTGGTCATCGACAACGTGAGGCCCAGCAGCCGGGGGGAGGGTGGGTGTCCCGCCCCCGGGGGTGCACGCGGCGGCGCGGGGAGGGACCCCAGCCTGGCTCGGCCCGTTCCCAGGTTCGCTGCCCTGCAGGGCCGCTCGGTTCCAAGGCCTGGGTGAAAAGGCCACCTGGCCCTTTTGCCCTGGCCTTGGACCAGCATCCCGGTCGCGAAGCAGAGCCCCCTTGGGGAACCCAGGAAGTCCGAGACAGCTGGAGCGACAGCCAGGCGTCCATCGGGTGCACCTATGCATCAGGCCCGTGGACGCATCCCGGACCCTGTCCGTTGAGAGTAGAATCATTGGTCAAGTTTGGGCCCCGGCCCCTTTTGCTCATCCTTTCGCCCTGGCTCTGGCCACCTGAGAAGGTGGGCTGGCATTTGCCCTTTTGCACACTTCTGGCCTCATCTTTTGGAGGGGTTTGACCTGGTGATGTTTAAAACACTTACCAAGAGGACTGCACCCCGTAGCAAAAAATGCAAGTTACTCTCCACCAGCCACATATCCACCATCATCTGGATGGTCTCTTGGCGGCTTTGACCCTCTCTCCTTAAGTACTCCTGGGTAGGGCAGAAATTCCACAGCCTGTGGAACAGTAGAGAGTTCAAGGCCACTCTTCTCAGCACTGAGATGCAGGTTGGGGTCATTGTTTGGAAGCCTCAGGAGAAAGATGATGTCTGGCTTCCTGCGGCCTTGTCCTTCAACATTGGGGCTCACTCAGGCTTGCTTTTCAGGAAGATTTCTGGCCTTAGAGCCTGACATGGGGAGAAGAGAAGGGCTGGGGTCTGTGCAAGTGCCTCTAGCTGATGCTTCTGGTGTGCAGGCCTTGTAGTTTATAATAATGACTCTCCTCTGCTCTTTCTGGGGTTCTGTCTCTGTTCCACATGACCCAGGTGGGGTCCCTGAATGGCCGCCTTTTTTGGAGTACTCATGTGGGCTTGCCTGAGTCATAGCAGGCAGCGAACACTGAGACTAGAATTGGAATTGGGGACGTGCTTCAGACCAGCTGCTTCCCTTCTTGGTGGGCAAATAATTCACATAATTTATCAACAAACTTATGAGTTCCAAGGGCAACCACTTGGCCCCTCTGGTTGTCCAGCCCCTCCTCTATAACTGGGGGATGYCAATTTCTACGCTGCCAACCCAGAGGGCTGTGGTGGAGATGGGTGGGAAGAGGTGTTGAAAAGATTCTAGCATGGTTACTAGATGCTAGGTTCATTTTGAGATCCTAAGTCCAACTTCCAGGCTGGAGCAGTGCCTGGACCAAGTTCTCCCAGGAATCTCATGGGAAGCCACTTGAGGAAAAGCACCAGTYCTTTTGTGCACCCAGTCATCTTCCCTGGCAGGCCCTGTCTGCCCCTTTTCTGCTGGGGAAGGGAAARGGGGGCTGTTGGGAAAAACTGCCCTAAGAGTTTGCTTCTAGATGTCTTTTGGRAGGAACCAGCCGGAGAGCTTACAGAGAAGGACGCATTGCCTAGTTTCCCATGCTTTGCTCAGTTGACCTTCTGGTCTGGATCATTGTCATTCATGACTGTGGCTTGTGCACTGTAGGATGTTTAGCAGTATCCCTGGCTTTCCCGCTGGGTGCCACCGGAACCCCTCCCTTGTATACCTCCTTCAGAAACCACACACTGCCAGWTGTTCCAACATGGGGATACAAAATCACCCCCAGTTTTGAACCACTGGTGTATTGTAAATGTTCCTGTTTTCTCAGCAGGAACGGTGGTCTCCTCCCTGGCCTCTGTTGGTGGGACAGCCAGCTCTCCACACCTGAAGGTGAATGTCAGAAGCTAAACATTGTTTTCCTTGCAGGGTTCAGGAGTGATCAAGGCCGGCTTCGCTGGAGATCAGATTCCCAAATACTGTTTCCCAAACTAGTAAGTGTTGCTGGGGCAGTAGCTGTTCCTCTTCTGTGTGCTTCCTGGGAGACCGCCAGCCCTGGGTCATGGCTCTGTTCTTTGAGGACAACTCTTGCTGGTTTGCAAGGGAAAACACCAGATTTGGGAGGTTAACAACATCCAGAGAGCTCTGAAGGGACAGGGCCTTGAGTTCCCCTTCCTCTCTGGGGGCTCTCATCTTTGTCTCCCTGAGCCATTGTGGAAGAGAGGCAGCCAGCATTGCCCTGGGGACAGGGTGTGGCTGCGGCAGCAGGAATAAAAGGGAGCTCTCTCCTAGGGGACAGCCAAACTAAAGCAGTAGAAAGAGTCAGCAGGCCCTTCCTCCCCGAACCCAGGGCCTCAAGAATGCTTAGCTCCTTCCAGGATCCTTACCTGTGTTTCCCTGGCAATGTRTTCTTCAGGGCTTGTTTATCTTCAGATCCTAGGAAATGTTTATTTTTGCTTTTGATTTTGTTTTTGAGCCAGGGTCTTGCTGAGTTGCTTAGGGACTTGCTAARTTGCTGAGGCTGACCTTGAACTTGTGATCCTCCTGTCTCAGCCTCCCAAGTCRCTGGGATTAAACTTTGGCACCTAGCCTAGGAAATGTTTTGTTTCAGTCAAGAGAGGCCTTTCCCAGTACAGTGCTGGGGACATCCATAGGACACAGGGGTCTTTCCCGAGGTGGTGCTAGACCATCCCTGGAGGGATGCCATCCCAGAGGGCACCTAGAGTGCGTGGCCCCTCTAGCCCATCAGGGACGTTTCCCTCCACAGAATTCTGGAGGCTTCGGAACTAGTGACCTAAAGGCCAGGACAGAGCAGGATCCTAAAGCCCCCAAAGTCACAGGCTACACCAAGAACCCCAGGCCCTCGCCAGGAACCCTGCGGGCTTTAGCTTTCCTGCTGGCACTTATGGGCGTGATGAAAGGTTCCTGTTGGTGCCAGGAAACTTGGGTCACATTTTAGAGCGGTAGCTCATCCAGCAGTAGCTCTTAGTTTCCAAGAGCTGAACCTCAGTTCCAGAAGCTCAGGCAGTAGGAAGGGGCCATCAAATGAGTGAGAGGTGCCCAAGGGARCCACCACCCAGCTTTCTGGGACCATCTTCACTCAGTCTGTAGAAAGTGATGACAGCCCTGCCCCCTGAAGTCAGCAACGTGGGCTGAGAGACGTCCCTGCCGAAGGCGGACCCTCTGCTATGGCTGGTGCATAAAGGGATCCTGGCGTTCGGGCACTCAGCTATCTCCAGGAGGGAGACGCTCCACAGTCCCACAGCCCAAGGCCCCAGTTTCCAGTCTTGTGTCCTGTGGCCACATCCGGGTACTCTGGAGCTTTGGCGCTGGACTTTAGTTTTCCTGGACACAGCAGTTGGCCTGCCCACTCACTCATTCCATGTGTACTTGCAGTGTTGGGCGGCCAAAGCACATGCGGGTGATGGCTGGAGCCCTGGAGGGAGACCTCTTCATCGGACCAAAAGCAGAGGTGACCTGTGGGGCCTGCCTTTCCCTGGGTTTAGGGTCCTCTCTCACAGGAGTGCTGGGACCCTTTGGGCTCTAGCTGTGAAGCGCTGTGTGTGTACCTCCCTTCTGTGAGATGTGGGGTGGTGGCGTCTCTTCTGGGGGATATGTATAGACCTCCTCATATCCTGACTTTTAGAAGCTCTTTGGAAACTACAGAGGAAATACTGATTATTAAAAAGTGACTTCAGAATTAGCATTTCCCTGACCAGGGCCACGGGAGCCACCTTTTACACTCTAGCCTGGGAAGACCACCTAGGGACCGCACAGCCACCACATCACAGCCCAGACAGATCTCGGGAGGAACCAGCCAGGGGTGTGGAAAGAAGAGCAAGCCCATCTYGGGCAGGTGCCATGTAGGCAGCTGGGGACACGTGTGAGGCTCTGGGGAGTACGGGCATGGTTCTGGAGAAGTTGATGTTGGTAGGAGCCACAGTTATGGGTGAGAGAAGCTCAGTGGTGCTCAGTGAGAACAGGTGTCTCTGAGGGGATGTCACAGAGTAGATGGAAGCAGCCTATCTGGCGGGGAGCTGAGGGCTCCTGTAAGTGGGCCAGGATCCTGGAGGAGCAGTGGGCACAAGTGACCACAAGGGGGCGCTGTGCKGATGGGAGTGGGGCAGGTGGCAGCAGACAGGGCAGAGCAGACAGGGCAGAGCACCCGGGGAATGTGTGGGCAGTGAGTGTGGGGGAAGGGGCGGCATGGGTTGGGGGGGTGTCATTTTCTCTGGTCCTCAGCCAGTTGAAGCTCACTGAATTCTGAGCCAAGATGCTGTTGGACAGATGAGCATATTCCTMGTCCAGAACTTGCCACAAAGCAGGGGACATCCAGTGGGCAGGGTGGTTCCATGGAAGGCAGAGGAAGGAGGCAGCTTCCAGGGAGGCCGGAAGCAGCTGCTGGGGAAGAGCCTGGTGCCACCTCCAGATTTCCGCCCACTTCCCCCAGGAGCACCGGGGGCTGCTGGCCATCCGCTACCCCATGGAGCATGGCGTGGTGCGGGACTGGAATGACATGGAGCGCATCTGGCAGTACGTCTACTCCAAGGACCAGCTGCAGACCTTCTCTGAGGAGGTGTGGTGGCTGGCTCTGGCCCCAGGCTCCCAGTGTTCCCTGCTTCCTGGGCCCTGTCCCTCTGCTTCCTTTCTGGTCARGCCTTCCCCCTTCCTGCCTGCATGTTGATGGTGTTGCTGGCGCGTCACTGTGTCTGTGTGTGCCTGCTTGGCCAGGGGCAGCCAGGCAGAATTTTGCAGAGAGCACCAGATCTTGGGAGAGTAACTGCCCGCAGATAACAGGATGAAGCCCTCAAAAAGAATAGGAGGCTGCAGCCGCCTGCGCTTGAAGCAGGGATCTAACCATCTGGACGGGACCCCTGGGGCCTGGCCTGTGGTCCTCTGCATGCCACCACTCTCCTGTCTCTCGCAGCACCCTGTTCTTCTAACGGAGGCCCCACTCAACCCCAGTAAGAACCGGGAGAAGGCGGCGGAGGTGTTCTTTGAGACCTTCAATGTGCCGGCCCTGTTTATCTCCATGCAGGCCGTGCTCAGCCTGTGAGTGCCCCTGGGTCCCCTCCTCCCGTGGCCACCCTCCTGCTTGCAGTGGGCAGGGGTCTGACTTCCTCGAAGGAACAACCCCTTGCCGCCTCTGATGACTGTTCCTTTAGCGAGTCCTTTGTGCCACTCTTTCAGACTAGACAATACAGATGTCCCAAGGTCTCTCCCAGGGGTGAGGAGGTCCCCATGCCTCAGTGGCTGAGGTGAGGGGATGCTGACCTGGTAACAGGTACGCAACAGGACGCACGACAGGAGTGGTTTTGGACTCTGGGGACGGGGTCACCCATGCTGTCCCCATCTATGAGGGCTTTGCCATGCCTCACTCCATCATGCGGGTGGACATTGCTGGCCGTGACGTTTCCCGCTATCTCCGGCTGCTTCTGCGCAAGGAAGGAGCCGACTTTCATACCTCAGCTGAGTTTGAGGTTGTCCGGACTATCAAAGAGGTGATGGAGGGGTAGGGGGACAGCCTAGGGAGGGGACATGGGACCTAAGTACAAGGTCAAGCCCTGGGCTGCAGGTGTCCCGGTACAGCCTTCTGAGGCTTGTGTCCCTGCCCCTGCAGCGTGCCTGCTACCTGTCCATCAACCCCCAGAAGGACGAGGCTCTGGAGACAGAGAAGGTGCAGTACACCTTGCCGGATGGCAGCACACTGGATGTAAGTGGCTAAGGGTGGTACTGGGTGGCCGCCAAGGCTGGCCTGGAAGAAGGGAAGACTGGCTTCTCTGGGGGCCTGTCTGCCCAACCCTTTCTGCTCCAAAGGTGGGGCCCGCACGCTTCCGGGCCCCCGAGCTGCTGTTCCAGCCRGACCTGGTGGGGGATGAGAGTGAGGGGCTCCACGAGGTGCTGGCCTTCGCCATCCACAAGTCGGACATGGACCTTCGCCGGACACTGTTCGCCAACATCGTGCTCTCGGGAGGCTCAACACTCTTCAAAGGTACTGTGGTAGGTGGCACAGTACTGATGGGAGCAAGACCAGAGCCCAGGGGTGGCTGGACCCTCTTGCCCCAGAGCCCCAAGGCACCACTGTGGCCATTTTGGGCACCCCCTTGCCACCAAATCAAATTAAATCTATTTACCTGGTGACTAGATGACATATTTATGAGGTCAAAAATGTACCTGTGGAAAGGACTACAGAAAGGGGCGGTGGCAGCTRGGGGCCCGAAGCCTGGACAGGGAGCCAGTGGCAAGGAGGGTGGACCTGGGCCCCAGGCTCAGCAGTCCTGTGTTCACAGGCTTTGGTGACCGATTACTGAGTGAAGTGAAGAAGCTTGCCCCGAAGGACGTAAAAATCAAGGTGAGGCTGTGGAGACKACCTTGGGCACAGGCTTGGGACCGCCTTGACCTGGGGAGGAAGAGTGCAGGCCGCCTCCCCACTCGATCATGTCCGGCCTGCCTGACTTCCCCTCCCCTGTCCCCCACCTCACACCCTTGTCGATTGGCCTGGGCTGTGGGAGGAAGGATGGCTGCCGGGTGGGGCCTGGCAGTTACGTAGCTTCTTGCTCCCCTAGATCTCGGCCCCTCAGGAACGGCTATACTCAACGTGGATTGGGTGAGGCAGGGCCCCACGGGAAGTTTTGGGAAGGGTCCGCTCTGCCCTGGCCCAGGCCAGGTGGAGGTGGGGGGATTGGAGCTCTGAGTGCCCAGAGAGGGAGACTGGCCCAGCCCACAGATCCACAAGAACATCGTCCCTGCRTCCTCACAGGGGCTCCATCCTGGCCTCACTGGACACTTTTAAGAAGATGTGGGTGTCCAAAAAGGAGTACGAAGAGGACGGCTCCCGTGCTATCCATCGMAAAACCTTCTGATGCCCCAGGAGGGCGGGGCGTGTGGAAGAACTGGAGGAGAACGGGAGGGGAGCCAGAGCCCTGGACTCTTTTGGTCTGGGCTCACGTTCTAGGCTTAGGGTCCCCTGCATGCCCTGAACCCCGAGGCAGGGGGGCAGCGTCGCCTCCTGCAGCCTTCCCTACACCCACAATAACATTTAGCTGCATGGTGGGAGTCTCGGGCTGCAACAGAGCAGCTGAGGAGCCAGCACTGGGTGGTTCTGGGTGCCCCCCTTGCTGGGGCCATTTAGGCCTGAGGTTCCTTGCTCTGACTCTTGCCGCTGCTTCCCCTAGTGCCAGTGCCAGACACCCAGATGCCCCATTTCCTCTGACAGGCTCCCATGCAGGGCCAGAGTGCTAGGATGCCTGGGAAGCAGGCTGAAGGGGGGACAGCCAGCAGCCCTTGGGTGCAGTGAGGCACAACAGTGTGTCTCCTGCCACCTCCTCTCCCCAACCCAATGGAGCAGTCCAAACCCTCGCACGCTCTGCCCTCGTCCTCCTGGGCACTGCCTGGTGCAGGGCTGAGAAGCAGGCCGTCTTCCATCCCCAGCAGGCAGCTGTGGCCCAGGGTCAGAGCCGTCAGAGCTACGGGCAGTCACGGCTCATGTTTGCCACACTGTCCCCTTGTAAGCACCTCACTGATTGCTGCTCCCTCTCCTTGGCCCCAGTGCCCTGAACAGGAAAGAGTTAATGGCCTCACTTGTCACAGGAAAGCCACTTAATCAGGAGTCAGACCCAAAGGGGGTGGGGGACATTTCCTTCTCTCATCTCCCTTAAGAAAGGTCTTCATGGTGGCCAGRGCCCCATCTCCCTCTCCCCAGATCTGTACAATAATTTAACACAGTTGCCTGGAAAAAAACTTTTATAAAATCATTATAGTAATAATTATGGCTAAGGCCCAGTGTGTGGCTTTGTTCTTGTGGCTGAGTGCTGCTGTTTGCTCACCATCCCTGGGGACTTGCAGAGACCAGAGGGACTACACAGGCACTGCTGTGGCCCAGAAGCCCAAGGGTTCCCATGGTTGGCAGGGCAATGGTGCAGGGAGGCCCCAGGAGGCTGGGCTCTCACCACCAGCAGGATTCCCAGACTCACAGCCTCCTCACCYACCAGAGGAGGCAGAGAACAGGGCTCCGGGCCCTTGACAGGGTCCTGTGCCTCGCATCCTCTCCTGCTCTGAGCATCTGTGTGTGCCTTTCAGAGGGACCGGACCTCAGCTCAGGCAGTTGAGGACTGGCAGGGGTGCCGAGCTGGGCTGCACAGGAGGAGACTGGGAGGCAAYCTGGAGGCATGCAGGCAGGCAGTGGGGCCATCAGATGGAGGTCTGCTCTCTGATAAGTCCATGAGCACCTGCGGCACGTCTGAAGGTGCCAAGTGTTTGAGGCCAACAGTAAACAAGATTTATCCTCCCAACACACGTACAGGCCTTGGGGGCCAACAGGACAGCCCAACAGATGGGTCAGACTTATTTGCAAGGGCACAGGGGTGAGCCAGGCAATGGGAATGTTCCAGGCAGAGCCAAGAGCTGAGATGCCTGGGGCTGTGGGACTGGAGATGACTCAGCAGGAAGGGGTAAGGGGTCTGCTGTGGCTCTAGTAAGACATGAACTGGAAAGGAGGTTGGACTGGCATGTGAAGGTACTGGAAAGGGTCATTGGCCTTGTCCTGGGTGCTAGCCATGGAGGATGTTGACCAGAGCATTTGAGGTTGGTGGCTGAGAGGGCCACCGAACTGAGATCAGGTAGGAGGGAAGGACTGGGTGTCTGTGTAGCACATTTTGTGGGGCCTTCAACTCACATCAGTGTCAGAGTTTACACCAGGAGCCCTTCATTAGGGGTYCTGCAGGCCAGCCCTGGTCCCTGCAGGACCTGGGGGTGGAACACATCTGCATATGTAATACACATTAAGGTAAATGCACAAGTGTAAGCACACCACAGTTAGAATATGTGCGTGTCCACCATGCGGCTTGCGCAATGGTTTCATTAATGAGGTTCTAGGCATAAAGTTAGCTAGATGAGATTGAAATAAAACACATAGACTCAGTTACCTTATTTCTATTGCCAGGTCTGAGACAGCTCACCTCTCTGGTTCCCACCTCTAACTGCCCAGCAGGGCAGTGAGGATTACTCAGGGCTAGCAGGAGAGAGAGAGAGCGAACACGCCTGGGAGTAGCCTTTTATTGGGGAACAAGAGATTCAGGGGAGAATTCCATCCAATGAAGGTTGAGGGGGGGACCGCACTCCAAGGTCAGGGTCAGTGATTGGGCCCCCGGGGTCAGTGGTCAGGCACACCCCCACACGGATGGGCTCTCTCATCAGGAAAGGGCCGGGAAAGCTCCGACACAGCCAGAGYGCCTCAGACCCTTAATGGGAACCACCCAATCACGTGTCAGAAATGGCTTCCCACATGCATGCCTTTCTTAACTGTTTGCTGGGAGGGCCTGGAAGCAGCGACACCCCAGTAGCAATGAGCACATCAAGTATCAGGGCTTGGTCTCTACATGCCATTCCACAATTCCCTGGGATAGGGAAAAAAAAAAAAAAAAAGCTGAAATAAATATGCCCATGAAATGTAGAAGGAATAATGGAGAAATAAAATCWCTATTGGGCAAATATTATAGAGTAGTAATGTTGCAGGCAAGAAAGGACAGAAAAATTAGTGGGGAGAAATAAAGTGTTTGCATTGTATTGGTGTCTACTCATGAGATACAGAAGGAAAGAGTGTCATTTATGGTGGAGAAACCTAGTAGACACTACCTTCACCAAATGATCAAACTTTACAGCTCCAGTAACAAGTCACCRTCTCTTGATGAAGCACTAAAAGAGGCCTAGTTTCACCTGTGGTGTTCTTGTAAAATGTCAGTTGAACCAGGAGCCAGCAGCAGACAACCCCAAAGTGAAACCAAGAGACCAGTCCCCTTGTTCAAAAGGAATGTCATGAAGACAACAAAGGACCAAGTGCAAGACCCTGGGTTGGAAAAAGGATTTTCCAAAAAGCCAGCAAAATCCCAATAAGAACTGGGCACMCTTGCACACGCCTGTACTCCCAGTGTCTTGGGAGGCTGAGGCAGGAGGATCACAAGCTCAAAGCCAGCCTCAGCAACTTAGCAAGGGCCTAAGTAATTGAAACCCTGTCTCTAAACAAAATACAAAAAAGGGCTGGAGATGTGGCTCAGTGGTTAAGCACCCCTGGGTTTAATCCCTGGTACCAAGAAAAAGGTCTTTTTGATGAGTTAACAGTATTCTATCGATATTAGTTTCCTAGCTTCAGTGACTATACTGAAATTTGATTTTTGAAACTGTCCCGTATTCTATCTACTGTCTGATGCTAATACTAACAGGGAAAACTTGGTGAAGGATGAATAGGAACTCTGAAACTAACAGCAGTTACTTTTGCTATTTTTCTGTAAGTCTGAAATTATTTCAAAATAAAAACTTAGGGGACAAAAGGAGTTGGGGTCTGGAGCTAAATGGCCTGGGTTCACAATCTTGTCTCCCAGATTGCTAGCTGCATAATCCTGAGCTTTCCCAGGCTTGCCATCTCTAATCTGGGAGTGATAATAATGGCACCTACCTCATGGGTTTATTAACAGCCTAGAACATGAACCTAGTACATTTTGTGCCAGAAAATAAAATAAGCCCTGGAAGAATGAGAGGGACATATCAAAAGACCCTAGAAGCCAGTTTGAAGAGGTTCCCCCAATCAAATTTGGAACAAGTGAACAATCAAAAAATAAATGAGTCACAGATATTAATCCACCCAGTAAAATAAAACATGAAGCCATACTGATATAAATAAATTCAAAGTGTGATAGGAATGAAGTGGTGACATCTCCAAGTACTGGCCTATGAGATTTTTATTAAAGAGCAACTTCACAGTGGAGAAGGCTGGCAGACATTAGAGCTTAGCTAGGTGACCGAAACAAACCTCCAGCAATGGATTAATTCAGCACTGAGTGCCTCTGAGAGGGCACCAACCTCAGTGGCACTCCCACCCAAGATGCCAACCATGAGGAAACACAAACCCAAGTTGTCATTCTTAGCAGTGCCACAAGGTCAGCAGAGTCAAGACAACTGTCCTAGACCTGACAACCAAAGGCAACATGTGACACTGAACTGAGTCTTTTTGCTAAAAAAGACTGGAACTTTTAGCCAAACTTGAATAGGAGCAGGGCGCAGTAGCGCATGCCTRTAATCCTGACGGCTCAGGAGGCTGAAGCAGGAGGAGGGAGGCCAAAGCAAGAGAATCATCATGTTCAACACCAGCCTCAGCAATGGTGAGRCATTAAGCAAGTCAGTGAAACCCTGTCTTTAAGGAAAAAAAATACAAAATAGGGCTGGGGATGTGGCTCAGTGGTCAAGTGCCGCTGAGTTCAATCCCTGGTACCAAAAGAAAAAAAAAAAAAAAGTTTAATAAATGCCTAAATACCAATTATCCAGAGTTCAAATTATTCCAGATCTTTTCCTTTACAATGTTGAGACAGAGCCTTGCTGTTGCCAGGCTGGCCTAACTCCTGGGCACAAGTGGTCCCCCAATCTGAGTTGCCCAAGTAGCTGGACTATAGTACCAGTATGTCCAGCTTGAATTTTTTTCTTTTTTAAAGATGGTACTGTGGGGCTGGCGTTGTGGCTCAGTGGTAGAGTGCTCACCTAGCATGCTTGAGGCACTGGGTTAGATCCTCAGCACCACATAAATACAATATCCACCTAAAACTAAAAAATAAATATTAAAAAAAAAGATGGTACTGTGGGCTTTATTCAAAGAAAACATTGGAGAYAGGTACAGGGACCAATACAGTGGGTCTTGCAGAGGGGGAACAGATTGGACCCAACCCCCACAACTGTTTTTTCCAAAATCAAGACCCAAGCAAGGTCCACACACTGTTGTGATGGGTTTCACTCTATAGGGTCTCCCAAATTTCCCCCTCCCTCTATTCCTCACAACTTATTTGAAGAAACAGTCTTGTTTTGTTTTGGTACTAGGGATTGAACCCAGGGGTGCCTAACCACTGAGCCACATCCCCAGCCCTTTTTWAAATTTTATTTAGAGACAGGGTCTCATCTCACTGAGTTGCTAAGTACCTTGCTAATCTGCTGAGACTGGTTTTGAACTCTGAATCCTCCTGCCTCAGCCTCCCGAGTTGCTGAGATTACAGGTATACACCATCACGCCGGACTAAATTGAAATTGGATTTTTGAAACTGTCCCATGTTCTGAATTTTGCTGTCATTCTTATAAACTTGCTTTGAAACAGATCCCTCAAGAATTCAAACTCASCAAAGTTTTTCTCAAAAG